TCTCTGAAGAAAAATCCTGAAATGGGAATGTCCCAGGGCAAAATATTTTCTCTCACACTCTTTAACTTAAAAATAAATGACATCGTCAAAAAAATTAACAGCGGAACTGATTCTGTATTGTATGTAGATGACTTCCGTATTTACTATAGATCAAGAAACTTGAATCGTATAGATAGGCAGCTCCAAATATGCTTCGATAAGTTGAACAAATGGACCACAGAGATCGCAGCAAAATTTTCTAAAGGAAAAAACAAAGTTTGTCCACTTTTGCAACCAACGCAAACTCCACCTTGATCCGGTACTGAAACTTGACAACGCCGAAATTCCATTTGTAGATGAATATAAATATTTATTAATCCTTTTCAACTATAGACACACCTTTATTTCCAATATCAGTTACGTAAGTTTCAAATGTAACAAATTCATGCAATTACTCAGAGCCATCGCGCACATTGACTGGAGAGCAGATGGAGAAACGTTATTAAAAATATATTGCTCTCAAGTCAAATCAAAACTGAACTATGGCTGCTTCATATACGAACATGATATAACCATGGTTCCTCTTTCAGAATACCGAAACGTATTTTTTTACAAGTCTGGCTAGGTATTATCCGAGTTTTAGAGAGATTCATAATAGAGGCCAAGCGATTGAATGGAGAATGAAAAAAAAACACTATAGGGAGAGTGGACAAAAAAGATGACAGAAGATAACGATTGACTTTGCATTTAAATTTTGAAGATGAAAGTTGACTGGGAAGAAAGAAACCGTTAACGACATCAGAAGCAACCTTAACAATTGATTCCTGATAATCTTTCTATTTCATGTCAGTAGGAAATGTTATTTCGAGAATAACCAATTAATTATTTTCCTGTAGGTTTCTATCAGCCATGATGATGGAAGTTTGAAATTATTCTTTAAGCCGATTAAAGAGAGCAGTTTCATTTCAGATTCGCTAAAATTAAGAAGCCATTCATTGCCATAGTTAACAACAAATTGTAGGTCATTCTTTTTAAATACGCTGCCAATTTAGCCTCATCGAAGAGATTAGACTCAAATATTTATATTTATATCAGCATGAATATGGTTTTGGGGGCTAGTCACATCAGAATTTCATTTATGAATATTAGAATCTCCGTTAGTCCATGGATAATCAGGGGAACACCTGCATTAATGCAAATATATGTAGAAAAGTGGCCATTCAGGACAACTTTCATTTCAGTATTTGATAAGACTGAATTACGTCAAAAATTCATCCGGGCATAGAATAATATTCCAACTTGTGAAGAAAACATGTATGCCAGACTCAGTTAAATGCCTTCGAGATATCGAAATCTACAACCATTCTTAGCAATGATCATTTATCTGCTAAAAGTTTACCTAGAGAATCGAAAATCATATTGCTTATCTGAAAGAAGACCCTGCGTGGTGAGATTCAGAAACAATTCATAGATAATTGTAGCCTCTAGTACATTGAAAAAAAATTGGCCGATAGTTAGAAAGAACATTGTAACTGACATCTTAAATACTGGAACTACCAAAGAGGATTTCCGATAAACAGGAAAGCAAGCAACAATGCATTTCTTGTAGAGTTTAGTGAGAAGAGGAGCTAGTTCAGAAACACATTTCTTAAGGAATATTGCAAGGTTACGAGAAAGTCCACACGCTTCGTGGGAATCCAGTGTATGAAAAAAAAAACATAAACGGAGTTGTATGCATATCACTCAATAGAAACACAATTCTAAATGAAAAGTCATGCAACGATATTTCAGAGGTTTAGAACCTCTGACACTGAGTAAAAAGCGGAGAGTAGAAAACTTACTTTTATTTTTACACTTATTTAACAGACTATTACAAAACAGACAGTAGTCACGTGAACCAAATTTTTTGTGGATATACTCTGCCTCATTCTATCAGTAGACAAAATCTTAGCCTTTTTTGATGACTCGTTATTTCGAGCATTCAAAAATATGCGTCCACTGAGATCGGATTTATCACGCTGGTACACCACTAAAAATGATTCCTATGGGCTATTGCGGCTAAACAAGCTTGTGTGACCCAAAGAGAAGATTGTGGTCTTCCCATGATATTTGCGAGAAGATGCAAAAGCATCAATACCGGCTTCAACCCAAAAAGAAACCTATGTAGCAAAATTCTCATTCGGAAGATTAAGAATATCAAACCGAATGGCGTTTCGAATAAAGTCACGAAAAGAATCGCAATCAGTACGCTGGTACCAGAAAGAAGCCTTGTGAATATGTAGTTCTTTTCTAATAAACGACTTAAAATAAATAGCAACAGATACAACACCGTGATCCGAATTTCCAAGAAGAATGATTTGTGATGCTCTACAAGAGCTAGAAGAAGAAGTAAGGGAAAAATTAAGTAAAAAAAAAGAATGTTGATTAGGTTTATTAGGGAAACGAGTAGGAAAATCAACTATTTGAGTGAGAAACTTATCAACGGAAAAAAACATTGAAAGTTTGAATTTCGGTAACATCAGAATACTTACACACACACACACACACACACACACACACATACATACACACACACACACACACACACACACATATATATATATATATATATATATATATATATATATATATATATATATATGCAGAGAAAGGGAGAAAGAATGATTGATTATCAAAAGTTTTGTTTAATATATTACAGTCCTGAGAAGTAAACCGATAAAGGAAATCAGTTACCTAACAGAGTGCAATAACTAAAGTCGAAAGCGCCCGAAAGAATCACATGGATACTCCAGAGATTATTCACTTGCAATTCGGTGATTTTCCCGAATATAAACACCAAAGCTATGCAAAGGTATTCTAAAATCTTTTCGACGGAGAGGAATGTCGCCTGGAACAGTTAATTCATTGGTAGCAATAGAATTTCAATTTGTTTCGCAAAGTGCGAAGATATCCGGAGAACGTTTATCACGAATATTGGAGTATAAACGGTTGAGAGAGAGGTGATATTTTATTCACTCGTTTACTCGTATTTCTTTTCGTTTTGTCTGTCATGGAAAATTTCAAAATGATTATCACTATGTATCGTCTATGGCAATACAAATTGGCCAGATGGCGACAAATACTAAAACATGTGTCCGCTGGATTGCTCACCTTAAATATATGCAGGGACACCTATCCATGTGCAACACCGCACTACAAATACCCCGATTTTATGCGACCTTTTATGAGAGCAACCTCTCTAAGCGTCCTCAAAGATTTCGGGTTTCTTTATACCAGTTGGAAGCAACAAGCAGAAAACTGCCAAACCGGTACCCTCATAATGAAATGTCACAACCACCGATCACTAAATATTTAAGACAGTTAAATAATTATGGACATGGATGAACTATCCGGTAAAACATATCCTAAACAGGAAACAAGGGATAGACCTCTACTCCTGTTCAATAAACCTGGAAGACTACTGACCGGACGATAAGTAAAGAGATCTACTCATATTAATCTGTACGCAGCACATTTATCGAGACACCATCGATGAAAGTTTGCTGAATAATTACACGCCAAGGAGGAATTACGAAATTATTAAAACGTATTCTGAGTTTATCCCAAGAACTGAAATCAAAGTAATATTAACCAAAAATTACATTAATTAATCTAGATAAAATTAATAAAAAATTAAAGTTAAGATACACACATACACACACACACATTGAACAACAGAATAGTCTTCGTTGTCAAAGGGACCGCGGATTCTTGTTCTTGTCATACTTTTTGGTTTGTGTATCGCCCGGTGTTACTTCAGGCGATATGATAATGGAAACTTAATTGAAATAGACGCCCCATATTTATTTCAAATAAGTGTATATAAAAATGTTTGGGTGAATGTATTCATGTGTAGCTAAATATATACGCGTATGTCTGTCTGTATATATAAATATCTGCGCTTATGTATGTCTAAGAGTATGTGTGTGTACATATGCTTGTGTATATATATTTACACATGTGTTTATGAAAACACCTTTATTGTGATAACAATAATATATATATATATATATGTGTGTGTGTGTGTGTGTGTGTGTGTGTGTGTGTGTGTGTGTGTGTGTGTGTGTGTGTGTGTGTGTCCGTACGCGCGCGTGCAAGTTTTGTTTCTTTATATGTCCTAACAAGTTTGTGCTTTGTCATTGGTTTTAGTATCTAACCTAATTCCTTTTTTGGCATGCATCTCTGTCAATATAGACTTTTTGTGTATTCACCTTATTCAAAATAATTTGGACATGGCTTTTATCGATGAATGTATGTAATTTTGGAGTTAACGTATAAAAATGATTAATCATCAGTTCTTAAAAAACCTTTTCTAATGCATTCATTCAGAAACATTTCCGTTATTAAACAGAAAACTGAACAGAAAATGCTAAACGTTTTCTATTTTCAATAGCATTTCGTTAAGCCTATTTCCAATAATATTCTTTACGATGCTTGTTAACAATTGGAATCTATTGTGATACAGCGTGAATAGATCACTTTTCTAAACCACTGGTTCATATCAGACAAAAAATAAAAACTGTTATATATTCATGATAATGATAAAAATAAATTCCTATACATGAAGCCTCATTCTTGCTACTTGTTGGACAAAAAACAAAAACTTATCGTTTTCATTACATATAGGACTTTAAAGCAGCTGAAAACCTTTCATAGTAAAAGTCATAACTCTAAAACTACTGAATCGTACATTTATATTCATACTAAATTTGATTCAATGCGAAATTCAGAGAAAATTCAATGAAGCATATATTTACTTTTGGAAGTTTTATATGTTCATTTAATATTGTAACTCGCTTGGAAGTTTTAAATGAAAAACGTTTAAGAATCTAAAATAAACTGAAGCATTAACTTCTTGTTTAATAGCTTCAATAATAAGTGTAAATTGTTAGAGAAGCCTTTATCTAGTAACACGATTAGAACGTGCAACCCCGCAAGCGTACACAGGGATGATAACAAAAATTGTTCTGAATATTCGACACATGCGTTTTGAGGAGCCTCAGACATTGATTGAAGAATTTTACTTACAGTGTAATAAGGAAGATGAAAGCTGGGTTTGAAGACCTTTTGAAACTGGACTGAGTTTCCGCTTGGAGTCAAAAGGTCAAGGAAGCAAATATTATTTACTAAACCTATCTAAGATTTTAGAGCAATCAGCACTGATCGAACTCGGTTATAATGATCAATCAGACTACCTCATTAATTATTCTCTGATATCGAGATGATTTCTGATGTGAACTAGAAAGCTGGTGTATCATCGTATTGCTAATGAAATTAGAGCATTATGAAAGCCATGACGAGCTAAGTGTTAGATTTCGCTTACTATAAGGAATATTTTGCTAATAAAATGCTAAAAAATTATAGTTTGCAATGGTGAACTTTTATACAAGCATTTATCTATTGTATGTAGACATTTGTTCGAGTTATTCAAGAGTTAACAGGCAGAGTTTATAAATATATTTGAAAATTTCTTAGATCATCATTGCGTGTGCATTTAGTTTATTCGACTTCATCTTGAAAGTCCGAAAATGTGTTGACTAACAACTTACCGAACTTTTTCTGTTTGCTCAACATAGGCAAATAAAGTTATGTTGGACAAGATAATCATTACCAATCAAAAATAAAATCAGAATCTAAAACGAAGTATTGGTGACTAGATCAAGTACAAACTACAATAAGTCAAATTATATAAATAAGCAGTTGCTGGAAAATTAATTTTTTAAAGGATTTCTTGCTTAAAAAACAGGAAAACATGTAAATTTTCTGGTTTCTAACGTCTATTCCCAAACTTCAAATGCGATCTGACAAAGGACCATGATAGATAGACTTGTTTACCATAACTCGTAGCCATGGAGAAAAGAGATGTGTTTTTACCTTTATCAATAGCATAGTCCAAAATGAAGGCAAAAGACGAGACCAAAGTTTAACCTCTGTTTGTTGATTCTACAGTTCTCATCGAAATACTTGGCAATGTATTTTTCCGAATCTATGACTCTCTCAAATAATTTTCCGAACACTTTTGATATCCAGAGAAAATAGGTTTGTAAGAAAAATGTACCAATATTAATTTATATAGTCCTTGTAGTCTTAGGAATGACAATTATAGGCTAGGGTTTATTTAAAAGGAATATTTCGATAACAACTGATTTAGATTGAAGTGGATATATTTCTGATTGTCACACTTTTACGCATTAAGGATTGCTTGTTTGTTTTTGTTTAGCGGTACAACAACACCTATGGGAAATTTAATGCCGAAATCTAAATATGTTCTACTCTATTCTATTCCAGCTTTGGGCATAATACTGGTTTAGTGATACAAGTCTTGCTAATTAACCCATAGCTGGGGAAGAAGACGTGAATTTATACCTTTCCCAAGAGTATTTGCACGTAAATGAATATAACAAACCCAACTGTAAACTGAACTTGATTCACTGATAAACAATTCTCAGCCATTATCCATTACACTACCCGTTCAACCAAGCTTACAGCACCTGGTATTCTCAAGCGATCACTCATCTAGATATTGACCAAACTGGACTTTGCTTAACTTCTGTGATCGTACGTAAACTGGTGATGTGGCCTACGATTATGCATTAAGGAATTCCTTTGTTAAATTTGCTTTTCCAATGCTTTGACATCAGAAACTTGTGATAAGACCAATGAAGATGGTTAATATATTTTTCTGGAGTTGCGGTTAATCTCAGTATGTTTAAACAGCTAATTTTCTGATACAATTTTCTATTTGTTTAGCCATTGAAGTATTTTTCAATTTCTTCTCTCTCAGGATCCACGCTCGCCCAGAATATCGTCCTGTAAGGTTACTCTCCTTCTATCCATCAAAATTTCTTCTTCTTCCCAACTTACTCTCCATCTATCTTCTCATTTCTCTTCTTTTGCACTCAGGCTTAGGGAGACATTTCTTTTCTCCCCACGTCTCTCAGATCTTCACTCTCATTTTTCTTCACACATATTATTATCTTTTTCTTGTATGTTCTCTCTTTATGCTACTACTCACGCTCATTCTCTCGCACTAACTCTCTCTCTCTCTCTCTCTCTCTCTCTCTCTCTCTCTCTCTCTCTCTGCAGTCTTTACTTTCCTTTTGTCTTTACTGTCCCACAACGCATCCTTTTCAAATCTCGTTTTCTGCGTGGGCTATTCCGTCTCCAATTGGGTGCTGGTTTTCCCCGATTATCCCTCACAATTACAGTAATCATCCTCTCATGTGTTCTGACTGACTTACAAACTGAACAAGATCCTATCCAAAGATTTTGCTTCGTCATCCTCGCTTTTCCTAACAACCGGTTTCCTAACACCATAATTTAGGTGGTCTGCTTAATAAAAAAAAAAAAAAAAGAAGAATTTCCGCCATTTCTTTTTAGTTCTTTTCGTGTCGATTTGTTTCGTCTGTCGATATATCGCCGTCCGACTGGCCGCATCATTAACATATATAAAAACATACTGCATGCAACCGAAACAAAGCCGGACAGAAGGAAGTCGGGGCGAGTAAAGGCTAATGACAATATGTTGTATCGCGAAAAACAACATCCAATTTATCAAAATACGTTCCGCACGTGCACTTTATATGAAAGCATGTTGTGCAATGAACTTCTGTGTGCTGTGTCTCTTCAGGAAGTGGATGATAACGGCTCCTAGCAACTTCCTATCATTTGTAGCTCTTGACAAAATTTCTTATTTTACTATGTCGCACACTTCTTGTCTTCTATTCATTTATATAAGCCTGTTACCTAAATTTCTCGCCGTTTCTTTTTCTTCCACCTCTTACATTTACTATGTCTTGTGAGTGTTAAATTTTTCAAACCTTCTTTTCTCATTGTATGTCCTAAAATTTATAAAGTGTATAAAGCGATATTTTTGTTTCCAATTTCCTTAAAACTTCCTATTTACTCACATTTCAATATGATTAGATAGTTTCACTTATCGTCCGGTTCATAGTCCTCGTTTTTTTTTTTTTTGGAAAAGAGTTGAGGTTTGTCTCTTCTTTCCTGTTTACTATTGGATTTCCGATTACTTCTAAAGTCTACTTCCACACTTTTAACATGTCCGACTAAATTCTAACTCTGAAATTCACTAATTCAATCTTGACTTTTTCAAGTCTAGACTTAGTCGTTATCTTCCTGCACAGATTCAAGAACTTCACTTCCTGCCATTTTTTACGTCCATACAATACCACAGTCAATACCACAGTAATCCTGACATCGAGTGGCTCCTGGACCTTGTATTGTGTGAATATTAGTAAAAATAAAATGTTCCCTCCATAGTATTCTCAGTATCCTTCTGTAGAATCGCATTTCTGTTGTCTCAAGTTTGCTCTTCATCGGTGAGGAAATTCTGCAGCATTCACATCCATGCAAAAAAAAATTATTAATATTCCTTTAACTAATTATATTCATCACGGATAACATTTCATTGTCCTACTTGTAGATGGAGGAGTTTCAATAAATTCACTGCTTTATGATGAAAAAATCAATTATTTACAGGACAAATGTTTATTTTTTTAATAATTTCCTTACTTTCCTTTTGATTTTTCTTATTTAGCAGCAACTAAAACAATTATTTTCATAAATTGTCTACAGCGCAGATGTAAACATCAGTCTATCAGATACCAAACATGATTATACAAATATAGTTTCGTAATTATTTTTTTAAAATAATAAGAGGTGGATGAAATACACGCAAACAAATAGAGTAATTCAGTGATGAATATTGATCCTATAAATCTAACATTATACACTGCGAATTTCAGATCAACTTTCAATGGATACGAACATGCCAGGCTTTGGATATTGACGTACTCTCGTAGGTGGTACTTATATTAATCTGCACAAAAAATGAAGTTGCAATTCAAAAAACTGTGAGGAATATAATAGGTAGTTACATTAAACATTTCAAAAATCAGTTTATTTTCGTTAGCTGAACTTAATGAAATTATATATATATATATGTGTGTGTGTGTGTAATATTAGTGGTCGATATAAAACACACACACATATATATATATTGATAATATTAGTGGTCAATATATATATATATACATATATTTATTGTATTAGTAGTCAATATATATATATATATATATATATATATATATATATACACATAAATTCCCAAAAGGATAGGATCCAGGTAGAACTCAATGTCCAGCACAGAGTAATAATATAATATGAAAATATATAAATATAATATATAAAATACAATATAAAAATATAAAATTTAAAATATAAAATATAACATACAAATATAAAATATAATATATAAAATATAATATAAAAATATAAAATATAATATATAACATATAATATAAAAATTAAAATGTAATATATAAAACATAATATATAAAATATAATATATAAAATATAAAATATAATATATAACATATAATATAAAAATTAAAATATAATATATATAAAATATAATATATAAAATATAATATATAAAATATAATATATAAAACATAAAATATAATATAAAAATATAAAATATTAGTGTTTGGGACTTTTATATTGTATATATATATATATATATATATATATATATATATGTGTGTGTGTGTATGTATATATATATATTCGTTTATTTGTTAACTGAAACTAATGAAAATGAGAAAAAACAATTGCTAGACAAAATAAAATTTTTCCTGTAGTTACCAAGCAATCATACTCTTTTGTGTTATCTTAAATGTAAATTCAGCCAAATAAGTTCGATTAAAAACAACCGACAAAGTTTGTATGTTTCATAGTTTTATTAAATTTTCCAATGTTCGAATGAACTGTTGACAATTGTGGCTCAAATTGTGGATAAACTCTTATATTTTCTTATTGTTTTCTTCAAGTACTTTCGACCATCACAGTCAATATTAAGAAACAATCTTGCGTCTGTGTAATACCTAGAATCCATTTGACTGTATCCAGGTATTCTTTGGGAAGTTGGAAAATTTAGAATTCTTTGACGTGATGTCATGTGTTATGGCTATTGGGGACATGACCTCACAAAAAGAATGTTATTTAGTTATTTATTTTATTGTATTTTTTTATTCATTTCAATATTAATATTTCATTTACTTATTTTTTTTATTCTGTTATATTTTTTATACTAGTATAATATATGCAAACATTAATTATATCATATCGAACAAATTTTATACAAATATAATATATGCACACATTAATTATATCATATTCACTTCAAGATACTGTCTTCAGTAGTGACTGATATTTCATTTAATGAGAATTGTCATTTTGTATAATAATAGCTTCTTGGGGTTTTAGTCTTTCTTTGCAATGGATGCTGTTGAATATTGTGTTGTTATCTACTAATATTTGTCTCAGGTTGATACTTGCATTTTGATCGTCCATGATATATTGGTCAATGTGTGATTCGACAGGTGACAGGTCAGTCTACGAGTGAATGTGGTGCATGTGTGTTCAATGCAAATATTTAGAATTTTTTTTTATTTTTGAAGATGCAATCTCCCAGGATGCATATGAATTTATAGATAATATTATTTTTTATATCGTGGGGGATTTGTGAGGTTAGCTGTTGTTGATAATAATTAATTTAGACATTTAAGCTTCTAATATTAGATGATAAATCTTCCCAAGGATTGACCTTTTAACTACCAAATATGTTGTAATCAACTCTTTTTGGTTATGTGTATTACAATCGAGTGTCACAATTTAGCAGTCTTAAAATTAAAATCTGCAATAAATTGGTTGAATTGTATGAGTAGACATATTGGCCATCTGATTAAGAAGGAAACGAAACTGAATAATTCCTCACCTGAGTCAGGACACTGATTCAATCGTGTTGTTCGTGGTATACTTGACTTTATATCAATTGATATACCGACATTTTGGATTAATTTTGCTGGAGTAAGTGTTTGTAATTTTGCTGGAGTAAGTGTTTGTAATTTTGCTGGAGTAAGTGTTTGTAATTTTGCTGGAGTAAGTGTTTGTAATTTTGCTGGTGTAAGTGTTTGTTAGCGCGAAATAATTCCACATTTGTAAAATTATTCCAAGTACAAATTTCCTTTTAGAAACTTCAGAATGATTATTTTTAAATTCTCTGACCAATAAGCTTCATATATCATAATGTTATTTCATTTATCATTATTTTCTTCAGACATATCTTTTTAAGAATATCTGGAAAACAATGAAGAAATCTATCTTTTTGTAGAAAAAATACTTGATTATTGGTCTATTGAGCGAAATAACTCATGATGTTTATGTAAATCAAAGGTATTTTACAAAGAAAAAACATAATTATTTTCAAGGATTTTACTTGTATATTTCCAAGTATTATGCAATGATACTTTCAGATCTGTTTCCTCATAATTAGTTTTATTTCATCATTTCGATTGCTCTATACTAAGAGGCATGTGGATAAAAATATAGAAAGTCATTAGACCATTTGGAAATTAGCTTATGTACTCAAGTAGAGCATTATCGCAAAGTAGATTTCAGAGTTTCGAGATTTTACATCCTCCAGGAAGAACGCTATCAATGAAAAATAAAAGCAATGAAAACCATATATTAAGAAGTAAAGATTTTTTAAAGTTTCTACTTATTTGCTGAATGTGACATACGCCAGAGTAATACCATAGTATTCAGTAGTCGAAGTTCTGTGATGAATTAAATAAAAAAAATAAATGGATCTAAAAGAAGCAATGATTAATACGAAATTGCCTCATATCAGAAATACCGAATGAAATTGATTCTTTGTATATTTACTAATATCATTGGACACCTTTATAGTCTTAATGTTCTATTTTGAGTGAACATCACAAAATGGTGTTAAAAATGGATTGAGAGAGATGTTGTCTTCCGGTTTTATACATCCGGTGTCTTTTCGGGTTCTCCGGTTACTCTCTTCATTACTCGTGCGTTTTCTTGGACAAAGTGAAAATTATTTATTTTTTTCTTATTACTTTACTGACAGGATACAAAAGCCGTTCCAGCAAAATATAAAATAGTCCTTTCCAAGTTAGCTCCAAAGGGGAATTAATATACATTTGAAACCTTCAAAAAAGAAAAAAGAAAAAAAGAAAGAAAAACGAGAAAGTTTACAAAAAAATGTCCAAATAACACATTAAATGAAAATCGATATTGTAAGCGGAAACTTTGCTACTATTGGAGAGTTTTATTGCTTTCTTTTTCATAGAAACATTCAGTTGTTAAGCGATCGGTCGT